TGTGCACCTACTTCGAATAAAATGTAAAATTAAAAACATCACAGTCAACGCAAAATATTTTTTTAATTCCAGTTTAAACCAGTTTTCTTGAGAGTCCCGTGTGAATGCTTAGATTGTCAAAAAACAAGCCTGTTAATCAGACAGGACAACTTGTTTGTCCTGACAGGAACGTTCTGATGGAGTAGAAATGTTTGAGCTCTGCGTTAATCGAAGGCGTTCTAATTAGACGAGTGAGAATTTGCTTTTGGAGAAATTACATCAAATCATTTTCCTTTCAAAACAAACATTTTAACTTTTTTTTTTATAAAAAAGCACTTGAGGGAAGGAAGTTTGTGTTTGGCTAATTATTTGTTGTTATGATGCTTCTTGGCTATAAAACTCATAACCTTGGAAAACCATTTCCATTAAATGGTGCCACATATTAGGGAAATGCATTTGTAGTTGGAGTTCATGAAAAAAATACAGCTTTTTCTGCTGTGGACTCTTGTTTGGAGCTTCTGGAACACGAGCTGCTGCCAATCAGCTCCCTGTGGCCATTCTACCCACAATCAGTTTTATTGTCAAAAAGCAATTTATTAAAATTATAGAAAACAAATGATTTTTTTCATACTCTCGGAGTATGAAATCTTCTGTCAGTTCAGTTTATGTGTGTGAGAGGAGAAGTTATCTGAAAGTGCATGTTTGTGTGTTTAGTGTCCCAGTGAGTCATATGTTCTTTTTAGCCACTTCAGTATAAAACAGAACTGAATGTTAATTTCTTAATTTTTTCATTGTCAGTGACTTTATTTATTTATTTATTTGTTTGTTTATTTATTTATTTAATTTTTTGATGAGCCATCTGTGTGTGTTCAGTGATTATACCAGGAGGGACAGGAAAGTCAGTTCACAAAAATGCACTACATATATTTTTTCTGAACTAAAAATATTTTGAGATATCTAAAAAGAGGAAAAATATTTTGCACAACTTTTTATCTAAACTGCATTTAGACCAGAGTACCTGCAGTAAACCACACCTATTTTTAATTAAAATGAATCRAAGCATTTTAAATTCCTTCAGTTTATGATGTGTAATGTCATAACGACCCAACATTTACCCAGTTGGAGGTTTTGGACCTGGGAATTTAGATACTTTAAAAAAAAAAGGAAAGAAGACAAAATGCTGATATGATGGAAGCAACTTACAGAAGCAGGTGCGTCAGGAACCAGAGGTGACACGTAAATAAAAGCGTACTGCTCCACAAATGCCGAGGGGGTTCTAATTATTAAAAAACAAATGAGGAAAGAAGAAACAGCTGCACCAACTGAGCTCAGGTGAGAGTGGGCGTGGCCGACAAACTGATCACAATAACAAAATTAAAACACGAGAATCCAAAAAAAACATTTACAGTTCACAAAAAACTACCAAATAGTTACCAAAATACTGAAACTTTTGTCTAATGACTGTCAGTGGATGTCTTTTTTTATTTATTAGTCAATAAAAATATGTAACCATATATTCATTTATAAATACATACGTTCTGTATTTCTTTAAGTTTGTTACTGCATCACAGCTGAAATGAGTTTTTATGACAACAAATTTTACTGAGGTTAGAAAAATGTGCTGGTGTATGAAATCAGCTGATATCTGGTTTAAAAAAACACGAAATCCTTTTATTAAGTTGTTTAAAAAAATCCATTGGTTGAACAAAAATATTCACTTTTGCAGCCAAATCAGAAGTAAAAAAAATTAGTTGAGTAGAATTGTTTTTCCTACACCACCAACACAAACTGATAGCCTAGAACCTTCTCTATTTATTTTAAATTTTATTAATAATTATTTAAGATACAATAAAAGTAAMTGTCTGCTATTTGACTGGTCTTGCCAAAAATCTAAACCACGCCCACCTATAGCCACGCCTACATATAGCCACACCCCTCTGATACAGATGAGCGTACTTCCACTGGAGGAGAATATTTTATCAGCTGCACACACTGGTTTCTGTAACTCCCCTCCCTCAGTCCTGGATTTCCTTGGACAAGAATTTTCTGCGTGCAGAGGAGTGAACGGGAAGCATCTGTTTTTTTGTGGAGAGGTCAGGGCCAAGAAAATGGGGAGAGTGAACATCTGGCTGAAGCGGAGTTACATGGGTGTGACTGCTCTGATAGTGGTGAGTTGTTCTGCTGCTAATTATGAAATAAAACATTCTTCATTTCACCTCAAACTTGTGTATTATCCACTTTATAAATGTTGTGTGCACTGACTTACTGTCACTGACTGAAATAAACACCAGGGAGAAAATGAGTCCCTTATGTGGTTGAGTAAAAAAAAAGGGGGGTGAAAAAAGTATTGCGCAATGTCAGACTCAATATCTGTGCAGAAAGGCTTTGTGAGGAAAAACAAGTTGTTTCGATTCAGATAAGATGGTGGRTGTGGACTGTCATGAGGTTATTGTGAAGAAAAAACATCAAAATGTGCCGGGTGGATGAAGAACAGCTGGAGTCAAAATGACTAAAGAAGAGCAGAAAAAGATGCCGGCAGAAAGAAAATGTGTCTTTTCATGTTTTATTAAATGTGTATCTGGAGTTAATGTAGATTTGTTTATTAAAGCTAAAGTTGGGAATGGACTTTATAAAACTCTTAGTCCTGGATTTAAGCTTTTCTGAACCGTTAAGGCATGTTAGGACTTGCTGTTTGTACAGTCAGTCTCCTGTGGTGAAAACAAGTGACAACGACTTGTGGTTTTTGCAACGGCTGACACAGTTTATGTCACTGTTCTTAGGTAATCTGCATCCTGCTGCTGGGATTCACTGTGTTTAATCATGGAGTCATGCACACTCGGGAAAAGGTAGAGAATATTTATAATGTATCAGAAAAGATATATGATTTTCTATAAAACTATCAAACAGTGTAAGGTTTTTTTATTCCTCCAGTTASTGTTGTATATTAACGCTGCCTTTCTTGACTATATGACTGACCTTTAATCCAAAGCACTGAAAGTTCATTTGCTTTCCTCACACAGGCAGAAAATGAAATCGTTGGGCTGCATTTTCTTTACATATTCTCCGCTGTCATTCTGCTTTTTACCGTCTTTGGTGTATTTGGTGTCTGGAAACAGAAGAAGTGGGCACTTATAGTGGTAAGTATATGTGACCCATCACATCGAAACGAGGATTAAGTCCAAAAGTTGTAAATGGAGAAATAGGCAAATATAGTGATTTGACTAAAATGTTAACAAAAATTGCATTTTGTCAAAATATAACGAATAAATGCCTTATTAATGTATCGTTTGAATGAATTGTCTGAAATATAATCTTAAAGCAAAAATTTGAAGCATATTTTGAGCAGTAGCAACAACAAAAAATTGATTTTGAGGAAAAACGTCTTAAAATTTTGAGATTTTCCCTGTGAGCTAGCAACGTTTTGTTTCTTTTTAGCTGGGAAATCTCAACATTCAAATATAATTTGAGGTTTCCTCTTTATAARGACATCAAAAATTCCTCTTTATAATGACAGAAAATTAGGATTCAGACCAAATATTTGTGTATTATTGTAACCAGGTATCAAAATGTAGCTTTTAAAGCCAAGAATCTGAAAATGTAATKAGGTCATTTTGACCAAATTTGACTTAATCCTCATTTCAATATGATGGGTCACATATATAAAAAAAAATACAAGCAGATGAAACTAAAGGACCTGGCCTGACCCTTGTATGTTTATTTGAGTCAGTTTGCAGTTGGAATGATCCTCGGCAGTCTGCTCTTGCTCTTCCTCATCATCAACGCACTGACTGCCACCACACAGGTATTTCCAGTTTAAAAGGGATCGTTGCATCTTGTGCAGAAAAAAAAGGCAAAATTAACTGTGAATCTGTCACTTCCTTCTGCCTTTCTGCATTTATCCAGATGGAAAACGAAATGAAGAAGGAGCTCGACTTCCTGCCTCTAGATAATGCCAGCGACAGTGCATTAACAGTCCTCAAACATATACAAAAAGAGGTAAGTAACCGTGTGTTCTGGTACAAATACACAACTTCTCAGTAAAACAAATCAGAAAAATCTCGAACAGAACTCATGTATGTGATGATTTTAGCCAGTACGAGTCAATACTGTAAATACCTTTAAAAAGAAAATATTGCATCCAATTCTAGTATTATAGATCAGAAAGTCACCCTGGTTTTCAAAATCCTTGGGGCATTAGTAAAATGTGTCTGGAGCCGCAAAACATGCTACAACTACCAACTGGTGATCTGTGGGCCTTTTTCAGTTTGTTGAAGTGGAGCCTTTATGTGGGGCGACATTATAAAGCTTAATATACAGTATAGACCAGTGTTTCCCAAAGTTGGGCTTGGGACCCAATTATGGGTCATGAA